CCTCCCTGGATTTACAGTGAACTTCCAGAAGCAGCACTCCTTGAGGAGACCAAAGAGGGGGATCTCCAACGAAGGCCAGGTTCCACCCATCGCCTGCCAGCTGGAGGCGCTAGGTTGCTGCTTTTGCTCTCCCAGGTAAACCAAAGAAGGGGCATTACTCCTCTGTGCAGGGGTCCCATGATGAAGTAGGCACCAAGGAGGGTGCCTCCTCCCCGCTGAGGCTCCTCCATACCTCCAAACCCACAGAGCATCCCTCTGGGAAGAATCCAGCCTGCACTGCTTTCCCTCTGTGAAAACATCACGGGCTTATAATAAAACATCTAGGCAAGTTCCAAGGAGAAGTTCGAGGGAAGAGAAGAAGGAAAGGGAGCAAATGAGAGTTTGCCTGTGTCATGTGTGTAGAAAAAATAACGCAAAGTAGGGAAACTCATCTAATCCAGTCTGGCAGTGTTACAGGGATGTGTACATTCATTCGCTCAAGAAATACTGATTTAGCATCTTATGTATGCCAAATATTTATAATATGTGTGTGTGTGTGTGTACCATACACACACAACACATATATGTATATGTAAATACATACATATATAATCTCTCTCCCCCTCTCTTACTGCATGTTCCAGGTTCTCAGTTAGCAAATGTCATGGTGATGTGCAGACATGGTTTATTTCCCCAATCTATCATTATTGGGCACCAACAGAAGAGTGCCTGTTTGGCATCATTGCCAATAAATCTCAACTTTCTTTTAAAAAGTCCCAAATATCTCACGTGTGATAACCACCGTTCACTGGGCCCTTTTGATTGCTTCAAGCCTGGGGAAGTGGCTTCCTAGTGTTTCTCTCTTGCCTGTAGGAGGCTCTTGAGAAGGCCAGGGACAGAACTGTGGACATACCCACCCTTCAGGACTTGCACAGTGCCACCTCAGAGCCAACTTGGAGGCTGGACTTCTCCATGGGGTAGGTGAGGTCCTGCCCTGTGGCTCCATGAGTGGTCAGAGCTTCCAAGGGCAGGTGTCCTGCTGGTCTCAGGATGGGGTGGGGCATCCCACCATGTAATGGGAGGTGGCATGTGGGGTGAAGGCCAGCAGCATCAATGCAGGTGTGACAGCACAGGAGGGGACCAGCTCCTCTCCTCCTTTGCAGTGGGGTTGATCACACTGCTTGACCCCTTCCCAGGCCTAGGTGAGCATCCACCTCTAGGTGATGCACCACCTCTTTCCTGTGTCCATTTCTGTGCTGTTCAACAACAAAGGGGGTGGTGTAGACACTTGCAAATGAAGTGGTTTTCCAGAGAGCTGGCCACTGGTCGAAGTGGACAATGGCCTTTCAGGGCGAGGGTGAGAGCCCAGGTGCTGGCTTACTCCATCCTGTGGACCCCTGCCCCCCCCCCCCCCCCCCCCCCCCGTCACCTGGGCTTCTGGTCAGGCTTGCTTCTCCTAACTGTGGTCTGAGCATGCAGACAGACAGACAGCCTGGCTGGCACTGGGAAGGGCTCTGTCACAAGAGCTTCCTCTGAGGACATCCCTTGGATTGCCATCTGTCTCTGCAATGGGGCAAGGTCAGGGGTTTCGGGGGTTGCCCCACAGCTGAGCCCAGAGCCCAGGCAGCCCCTGGGCCTGAGTTGTGGCCTGGGCCAGTACTGCGCGGGGGCTTCCTTGTTCCCACCTGAGCAGACAGCAGGGCTGGTGGCTGCACTGGGTCCCCTGACTTCCCCATCTCAGGAGGACTTGGAGCCTGGGACCCTGCTGGTTAATGGAAACAGGTTTTTTAAGCCATGGTGCAAGAAAGAGGGAGGAAAACAGCAGCATTTTCTAAGGAAATATGAAATGAGAAGGGGAATTAATGAGGTGGAGACACAGGAAGGCGGTTCCAGATGGCTGCAGAGGCGTCTGTGCCTCAGAGGTGAGGGGCGGTGGAGCTGGACAGCAGCAGGGACAGCGGCCTGGCAGGGCTCTGCTGTGGCCGGAGAAGTCGCTTCCTCCCCGAGGAGAAGGGCCACAGCTCAGGAAGCAGGGGCTGTGGCTGGCTTGCTGCGTGGGCCTCGCTCACTGCGTTCCAACACAGGAAAGCCCTCCAGCCAGCAGGCCAACGCACAGACTGGCCGGGCACCATGCCGAGCACCTTGGGGCTTGGACACAAAGATTCAGGGAATGGCTGGAAGTCCAGGAAAACCCGACACAGATCCAGGCTTCCTCCAGCGCTCTGTCTATAGCTGGACAAGGAGAATCACTGCTGTGTCTATTACAGCGGCATTCAGAGATACCCGTGGAATCTGTGACAAAGGGGAGAGTGTCATTATCTGGCTGGGTCAATTTTCTCTCCATCTGGGTTTGCATGAGAAATATTGAAATGCAAACAGTAACTGAGGATTCCTGAATGCTGAGTGTCTGAGACTTCCGATGGCAGTTGAGTTGTGTCCCCCTGCAGCCAGGGGACCTCCTGAACCCCTCTGAACCTCAGAACACACATGGCTTCCCTTGTCTGCTGTCGGAGAACATTCCAGAGTCCAGCTGGAGCTCCGACTAAGTCAGCGTGCCTCTCTTTTGGGAGAGTGGTCTCTACAGTATTTGGAAGTGGACATTCACAGCAGAGCTCAGGGCTCGTGTTCTGGGCAGAGTGCATATTTCACTGCCTTCCGGCTCAGAGATGGTGAGGGACTTGCCAGGAGCCTGAGACAGGAGCGTGGGCTTCTGGCAGACTCACCTCCTCACCACTCCCTTGCTTATCGCTGCTAATCATCTTCCCAACAACAGAGGCTCCCCTGGGCTTCATGCATCTACATAAAATGCATGGAGAGAAGCCGGGGAGAGCCAGGGGCTCCTGTTTTAGTTATCCAAGTGAGTTGAATGATGAATTCTTTTCTTGTGCTATAGAAGATTAAAAAGAGAAGAAAAAAGGGAAGAGTCAGTCTTTTAAATTTTCAAAACGAGTTTCTTCCCCCTGTGCAATTATGTTTACTTATAAATAAAATAACACGATTATGAGTATGTGTATTCATATACTGTATGTAAATATATTTTACATGCATGTGCATAAATGTATATAAAGAACAAGGAAATGAGCAAGTGCTAGGGGTGTATTAAAAAAAATCCCAAATGCTTCCTGCATGTCATGTATAACAGTTACATTTTTTCCCAGGGTTTGGAGGGGGGAAAAAAGTGAGAGAAAATGAAATCCAGATTTGTAATTCCTAACAGGAGAAACGTGATCCTTTTCAATGTTTAAGTAATATTTCCTGTAAAACATACGAGGCCATCTGCAAAGCCGTTTCCAGACACATTTTGAAGTGGCGGGGGCAACTGCAGGAGACAGAGCCCAGCCCACCTCGGGGCGCGGGTGGCAAAGGCTGTGGAAAGCCAGTGCTGCAATTTGGCAAAATGTCTCAGCTTCTGCGTGGTTCATAATTTGTTTAATTTACCTCTGCTTCACATACAAGGAGGGGGTCTGAAAAATTTAGCACAAAAATTAAGAACGCGACACCCTATGTGGAAAGTGAGACAGAGCTGCATCCTCAGGAGATGGCCAAGGACAGGCAGGCAGCTCCCGGAAACCGTACAACCAGAGGCACTCTGCTCAGCTCCACAGAATGCACAAGGAAGCTTTTTGGCTATTTAAAACTGTTATAAAATTTTGATTTTTTTTTTGTTGATCTCCAGGGACACCTTATGAATTCGTGGTGGTAGAATGATCTGGTCCTTGTATAATAATCACTTTGTGAAGGGTCCTGTTTTTACAAATTCCCATCTTGTCGGAAATCTCCAGGAAATACATCTATCCTCTAGGAATTTCCATTCAGTTTTTATATAACCAATAATCAGTCCAAATTTTAATACTAGCATTGATTAATTTTTTTCCTAGAAAGTTAAAATTTCATGTTGGTGCAATATGACTTTAAGTAAATATTATATATTCTGCAGAATCATACCAATGCACAAGCAAGTCCACCCTGCCCCAAGATCTCATGTAAAGTTTTGCCAGATCTGATGTGGGTACCAATCAGCAGCTGGCTGTGGTTTATTTTTTAATGAACCACAGGGTATTATTTGGATTGCACATTTAAAATTTTAAAATAGAACCTTAGCCATTGTGCTTGAAAATATTCTCCCAAGTGGACACAGCCATGAAAAAAAATTTGTATACTTCCTCATTTGAAAATGGCGTTTGTTTTATAAGTGACATGACTTGTCAGGTCAGTAGCTGTTCTTGAAGCCAGCATGGAGCTCTTTTCCTGGGGCACCCACTTCCCTCTTTTATTGCTCCCCTTCCTTTTGGCATTTTTTCTAGGTCTCCTCTGCTCACCAGAAAAAAGGTGAGTCACCGCTAAGTCTAAGTGAAACTTGGGAATAATTTACTCCAGAATCGGGGAGGTGCCCTCCTTCCCAACGTGCTCCTTTGCCCACCCAGTGATGCATGCAGGCCAGTGGGGGCACCCAGGGTTGCATTCCTATGTCTGTATCATAGTTCAGCTTCTGCCACACAGCACAACTTTAACAGCAGAGAAGTGTGAAAACCAGAAGGCTCAGAGCCGATAGTAACCAAGTGCAAATTTCCTGAAAGGCCCACACTGGCTAGTCAAGCTGTTTGACACTTTCTGGCAAAATAAATATGTGACACTTCACTGCTCAGAGGAGCGCCCTCTGCCATTTTCCCAAGTGGGCTCCCCATTCCGACATCCAGGAGGACAGCCTGCTCTCTCAGGGTCCAGCTCAGCATGTGGTCTGAGAGTGTGGTCAGCAATATCATGCCCCAGCTCTGCTTTAGAGATGCACAGAGCACAGGAGCTGAGGCGCCCAGGAAGGGAGGGACTGGCAGCCTTTCACCACGTTGCATTTTCAGGTTGGTTAGAAAATCTCTGGCACCCTCCCACCTCAAAAAAAAGAAAAGAAAAGGAAAAAAAAAAGAAAAGAAAAGGGGCCCTTTCTTGCCCGGAGCAGCTGCTGCTGTTGCACTTTTGCATGGGGGAGGGATGGATCAGCATTTTTTCAGATGGGAGAACTGCAGCTCAGGGAGTCTAGAAGCAGGATGCCATCTATTCACACGGCTATGGTCAGTGTGGCTGGAGATGGTCAATTTCAATGAGAGGCCTGCTCTAATTGTGAAAGGCAAACCCAGCCCAGTGCAGACTGCGATCTGGATCTGCCCGGAACGACTAATGGAACAGGTACTTTCAGACTGGGCACAGAGAAATCCAAGATGGTTTGGTTTTGTCATTAAAAGAATGTTTCTTTCAAGACAAGAGGGAGATTTTACTGCTGCGGATGGGTGGACTTTGCCTCCCTTGTCAGGGAGATGTTCCATGGCCGTCCGGTGACCTGGTCTTAGGAGACTGGGGCAGGTTTCTGACAGGGTGGAGTGGTGGGTGGACCCTGCCCTCTTGAACAAGGGTGCCTTCCTCTGAACAAAGCTCTCTTGGGGTAGTCTTCGGAGAAACCACCCAGGAGAATTAAAATTCATGGGTTAATTTCTTTAAACAAATTGTGGAGAAGCCTAGAATGCTTATTCTCATTTGATTTTTTCAATCTTTTTGCTTTGGGTTGCTCTTAGAAAAATAAAGCAGCACTCTGACTGCGGTTTCCTGGACTTGTTCCATCGGTCCTTGGGAAATAAGTCAAAGGTGACATTTGCTCTGACATGCACTAGGAGGACCCTGTCTTCCCTCCCAATCAGACTGCAGGGGGGTCTTGGAGAGTGGGGTGGGGCAATCAGCTGGCGTCCTGAGCGTCACTGTGTGAGCCAAGGCCATCTCAACATGTGCCAGACAGGGTCAAGCAACAGTTTTAAGACAGGTGAAGAATAAACAAATGTAAATGTTAAATATGGTGATTTACGGCTGACTTTCATTAAGTTCTTCCTTAGGAGGAGAGCATTTTACGGGGCACCAGGGACCCTTAGAATGGGTCAGATGTAGTTCTAAAACAAGACATAGTCGTTTTCTCACACATCCAGCTTCACGATACAGAGCCCAATAGAAAAGTCTACTTTGCTTGGAAATTGTCACCTAATTACATAGGCAGCACTTCCCGGGCAGGAGGGGTCAGGTGCTTATAAGACTAAGCAAGGGCATGCAGGTGCTGGGCTGGACGTGGACCCTGGTGGCCTTTGGCACTTGTCTGCTAGACTGTAAATGTGAACTTGATGGAAATTAATTAATTTATTCCGTCTTCCCTGGGAAACTTTCTTCATTTGCTTCCAGAGCCCGTGGTTGGCTGAGCAGAGTTCATTGCATCTCCTTGACAGATTGCAGGACAGAGCCTATTGAACAAGTGCCAAAGGGCCAGGAGCTCTGGAGCCTAGCCTTCCAGACCCCAGTGGGTGCAGCCCCTTACCCTAGGTCCACACCAGACTTTGCCACCACCACCAGCAATCCTGGAGGTTCCTACTCATGGACTTAGCAAGAGGGAAATGTCTTGGCATTGCCTCTTCTCCACCCCTTTAGAACTCAGTCACCTTCCTCCCCAGCTTGGCTTTTGCAACTGGAAAACTTCAACTGTCTTTCTGCCCTATGCCAGTCCTGGATAGCCCCTTGCTCCAGGGCCCTGTCACCTCCTGCATACTGGTACCCATTTTTCACCCTCAGAGTGGAAAGGCAATCACTCTACTCCCTTCCCTCCATCTCCTCGACAGTCACACTACAGAAGAGGGAAAGGGGTATCAAGACTGTGCTTGGAGGTATCAGATACAGAATTGGGCCTTGGAGGGTGCCCAGGGCTGGGGGCAGGGACTACAGAGCTATTCCTTAGTGGGGTCATTTCCTGCTTGAAACAATGGGGAGGTTTTGGAAATAGATAGGTGATGGTTGAACAACATGTGAGTTTAATGACAACAAACCATATGCTTAAAATGTATGCAAATATATACATATATATAATATATATACACACACACATATATATGTTATATATTTTAATAATGAATAAAATTAAAAAAAAAATACAGGTTCAGAGTGAATTCCAAGGTCCTGGCTATTCAGGCCCTGACTTTGTGGAAGTGCCCCAACCTGAGATTCCCACTCATCCTGGGGAAGCTCCTGGTAGGGTCACAACCTCCCCTCCCCCTATCCAGATCTCAGAGCAAGCCAGGTCTCCTCCCAGTCCCCCAGTCTATCCATCCAGGGACTTGTCAGGCCTTAGGCCCATCAGCAGGGTGGGTCCGGCTGGTGCCTGTGAGGCCATCAGTGGGCACACATTATTGAACAGCTTCGAAGACAACCCATAGGGCGGGCAAGCCCTGGGCTGCCAGGGGTCTTATCCATGCAGGTGCAGGTGGATGCTGCCTCAAGAGTAAGATGAGACAAGTCCTGGCCCCAAATCAGTGTGCTGGGAATACCTTGGTGTTATCACTGCTTCCTTCAAGTTCGATCTCATTGTCCTGAAGGGTAAGATGGGGAGAACTGGCACAGCCCTGGAAGGGCTTGGCTGGATGGCTTCCTCTGGAGCCTCAGGAAATGTGCCTTTGCAGACATGAGCTCTGCAGTGAGTGGGAGCAGCCTCCAAACCTCCAGGGCTCTGGTCACTCATGCTTTGTTCCCTCCATTCTTCTGGCCTGGTATTTTGCTTCCAGTGTACCCCGCTGCACATTTATTAAAGGCTGCGTTGGTGGGACTGAGGCTGAATCTGTCCCAGGTAGGCTTATGAGTAGCAGATTGCAAAATCCTAAGAAATGCAAATTTTCACTTCCATTTCCCAACAGTGGAGCAAAGTAGGAGGGGGAAAAAAAAGGTTACAGAATATTTGAATAAAAAAATCTGACTTAACCAGTAACCAAGCAGACTCAGAAAATGTGGCATGAGATTAGGTCTCCTTAATTAGAATGACTAACAGGTACCAAAATGACTTAAATTTAGCAATACCTTAAAAAATTTTTTTAATACTTTGCCTTCCAGATTCCTGGTATAGAAGCTTGTTTTAGGAATTGTTTTGGGTCCCACAAGTCAGCTAACCTCTCAAATGAGATTAAAATCTTTGGGTTTGGTAAAGTTTGCATGAATATTTTACATGGATCCATCCTTAATTAGGTTATAACATTAGAAAGTGCCGTGCCGCACTCTCTTTCCACAAATTAGACCCGAGCCCCACAAACAAATTAATTTGCGTCTCAGGGTTTCGACTGGGCCCCTTGGCTCCCCCAGCCTTCTCACAAGTACAACTGACCCTCTGGATTTCAAATGCCTGAGGGTAAAAAGCAATTATAAAAACATGACTCTCCCAGATCAGCTTTCGCCTCTGCCTTGTCTCTGTTTTATTGATGGGAGATTGAAGGAAGATTCAAATCAGCCATCCTTCAATTCTTCACCAGCAGCAAAATGCAGAAATCATTAGCTTTTCCTGTGTAAAAGACTTTGTCCTGCCTTATTATTCAAAACTGCTTGCTTGTATGAGTCAAAAAGGGCATGTTGAATATTTATTTCTAATTTTCAGCACTGGTAAATATTATATCGCTTTGTTCCCAATGTTCTTTTTATTTTGCAAATTTTATAGCAATTAATTAATGCAGCACCGTTATTAGCAATGTCTCCCCAGTTTCCACTGCCTGCATTTAAGATGATGCCGCTCGTAAGGGCTTCTTTGGAGAGATTTCACAGCCAGGCTGTGCTGGAATTATGAGATCAGTTCTAGGTGAATAGGAACTTGTTCTCGGTGGGGAAGCCTTTTACTGCAACAAGATGGCTGTATTGCAAACCTCGCCTTGTGCATCACAGCTAATTTTATTTAATTACAGTCCCCTCCCAACAAAAAAAGAAGAAGAAGCTTGGTATACAAAGAGCTCGTTGTCTAGGTTGAAATAAAGTGAGAAATGAAAGTCACCAGTGCAGCAAGTTGAGGAGAAGGCTGGGGTCACTCACAGTGACCAGAGTCCACCCCCAAGGAGGGCAGAAGAGTACAGCCTGCTTTCAATATCTGGCAACACATTCCTATTTATTCACAAGGCTAATTTTAAATGCTGCTATTCCAATTTTATTGGTGATATAATTTTCTATCTCGTAGAATCCTGAATTCTGTTGATCAATAAAAAATAATGAATATGTTGTTGTGAGTGGGAAAATATAATGTTCCTTTGGCCAATGCATTTGATCCATATCTGTAGCTAAACTCCATACTCGAGGCAAAAAATATGTCTTGTTTTAAGAAAGAGCCTTAAACTCATCTTAATTCTCCTATATCCATCCAGCATAAAAGGGATCCCTCTGCAAAGCAATTGTGGGTGGCTTCTCAGGGCAGAATGCAGGTGACTTCAGGGCATCTGGAGGCGGTGGGTTGTAGGAGGCAGAGGCAACAGAGCACCTCCACGGGGCTCGGGGGTGAAGGAAAGAGAGGAGGCAAGATGGCAGCCTAAGGTTTACCTGGGCCAAAGGTAAGAGTTTGAGACTGGAGGAGACCCAGAAGTCCTCATAGGAAGAGAGGAAGGAGAGAGGAGTGACAGTTGACAGAGCAGGAAAGTCACACCTCTGCAGAGGTGACTTCAGGATGTTGGGGGAGGAGGAGGAGCCCAGAGCACTCCTGGAAGGACATGCCTACCTCCTGGCTGTACATGGCCTTCCTCTTTCAGGACCTAAAGCAGTTTGTAATAATTGGATTCACATCTGTGACTCCCTTGCCCCAGGGCTAGCACCTTGCACCTTGATAGGGTTCTCACTGCCACAGCTCCATGCAGTGCAGACTACTCCAGAGGATCCCCTGTGCTGAGGGTGGTAAGGCTCAGAGAGAGACAGCAAATTTCCCCCCAGTCCTCTGGCCAGCAGAGCTGGACCCCGCATTCAACCCCTCCTCTGCAATCTACAGGAGCCCAGTCCGGAGGCAGGGGTGCCCAAAGGGCCAATCTGCAAGAGGCAGTGAGGCTCTAGTAGGTGGTACACCACCACCAGAGGGTCTCTCAGACTTTGATAAAGGTTACCTCAGCTGGCTTGTCCCAGAGAGAGGAAGGGTAGGGACTAGCCCTGCACACGCTGTTCCTGCTGCCCCCAGGGTTTGATCTGGAGCAATTTTGTCAGGCTGCAATTTTAAATAGCCAGTGCTTTATTTTTGGAATCCCAGAATGTGAGCCGGGTTTAATGAACCTAAAGCTATAATGTTTTACTTCTCCTTTGATAAAAATTTGTATTTCATATTTTAAAAATTGCACTCATTCTGCCAGTTGGTGTTACCAGCCAAGCGTGACCCATCCGAGCAACATCCACAAACTGTACTTTTTCTTGGTCACAGCGTCTTTGTAATAGTCTAGCCATATGCTACAAAATCGGAGTGGAGTTGGAACCATGTCCAGGAGGCACTCTGGTGAATTAGAGGCAGAGGTCACTTTGAATTCCCGAGCACACCCAGAATCTTTCCTGCTCATTGTGAATTCGCCCACATATTCAGAATGTTGAACCCCAAAGCAGGCAATATTCACCAAAGTCAAAAATTCCTGAACTTGCTTTCTGAGTGATACAGAAAATAAAACGAGTGATGCTCTCTAGGCCTCAAAGCTATTTTCTTTAACACGTTGTTGAGGCTTAGATACTTGTGACCGATTTAGGGAGAAAATATTTGGTGCTCACTGAAACAAAATAAACACATTGCATTTTTCTAAGATATACTTTCAGATTTTGCAAAGAGGAGATAACATTTTGTAGCTTCCATATGACATTTTTCTGGTGATAAGTTGTGACTCTGTAAGTAAGTAAGCCTATGTCTTTGCTCATCTAGGTGTCCTCTTGACCACAGTGTTTTTATTGCTAAGCGTATCCTTCTGAGGAATGTCCCAATTTAGCTAAATCCATGTGTGTTTATGCTTTTTTTCTTGGGGTACATTGTCACAATTAGAACAGCATTTGATCTTTCTTGCCAAAATGTCTTCCTAAAAGGCTGTATTGGCCTTTGTGCAGTGGACACGTATAAGCATGTTCTTTTCCTGAATCCTCATGCTTACCATCAACCATCTACCTGTTTCTCTATGTGTCTATCATCCCTCCCTCCATCCATCATGAACAGATAGATGCCAGTCTCTGAGATGACCTTGGGGGTTTTACTGCCTTTAAATGTGCATTCTTCTTTTAAACAATTTGTGTTTGTCTTGGTGAATGCTCTTTACCTGTGTCTCCAAGGAGGCTTTTATTTCCTGTCAATTTGTGAAAACTCTGCTTTTATATTTTAACATCTGATTTTCTCAATTGGTCATTTGTGTTTTGTTCTATCTCCATTATTTTTTGACCACCAGCAGTGTAACATCTTTTTATGGTACATTTACCAGTCTTTTCCATTATAGCCTTTGCTCTGCACATCACCCTCAGATAAGATCTCCTGTTATCAGATTGTACAGTTATTTTTATAATGCATTTTCTCTTGTCTTATGGTTTTATAATAAATTTAAGTCCCTCTGGGATGGATCTGGCTTAGATTTAATTTCCAAAATGGGTGGTAATCTCTCCCAATGCAACTCATTCGACATCGATGTGAATGGCGTGAATGCCAGGAGATGCCCTTGGCTCCGGTTGAAGGTGTTGTATTCCTCCGTATGCGTGCGTCTCTCTCCATGCCATCCTTCCTACCTCTGAATCAGTGCTGTTAAATATGTCCTGATATCTACTTGGACAAGTTCTCCCCCTTCCTATTCTTTATCCTACTAAAATTATTTTTCAAATGAACTCTAGGATTATTTTATCATACAAAAGAATTTCTTATGGGAATTTCATTGGAATTATGCTGAATTTGTAGATTAATTAGAAAGGACTGACTACTTTAAAATTCTGGGTCTTTCATTTAAGGACATAGTTTGCACAGGTTTTATGGATTCCTTATTGATTCTTAGTTATTTTATATCTTGGGTAACGGTACCTGTTGACACTTTTCTTCAACCCATAGGATGAAAAATATTTATATCACTTTAGTTTTTTTTCCATTTTCTACCCATTTTTAGTTTCAGACTTGTGTATTCCAAGAATTATTCATATTATTGTTATTACATTATTTCACATTATTTATCTAAGATATTTTGAACTTTGTAATGTTTCTTTCTTTCTTTCTTTTTTGTACTGTGGATTGAACCTGGGGCACTTTACCTCTGAGCTACATATCCAGCCTTTATTATTATTATTATTATTTATTTTGTTTTGAGACAAGGTCTTGCTAAATTTCTTAGGGCCTCGCTAAGTGGCTGAGGCTGGCTTTGAATTCATGATCCTCCTGCCTCTCAGCCTCCTGAGTTGCTGTGTATGATCATGCCCAGCTGATTATCATGTTAAGCCTACTTAAACTCTAAAATTTTTTTAGTTTCTTACTATCCATTTTTTTTACACTATGAATTCCCACTTTCTGAAATGCACATTCTGGTTTATTTTTCAGCCAGCTCAAGTTGAATGTTGCGTTAGTTTCTTTGATATTGGAGGTGCAGGGTGACAATTCCTAAATCACAAAAGCAGAAGCTTGGTTGCCAGTATAATTTCCCTCAAAACTTTGTTGTTTTGATGTTTTTGATGATGTTCTGTGTTTGTTCTAGAATTCATATATTTGAGAACTAGTTTGATTTGTTATTATTCATAGTAGTATAAGTAGTCTTTCTTCTCCCAGCCTGGATGACAGGACTGAGAATGTGCCGCCAGAATGTCTCTGTGGATCATGTTGTTGTAGGTGTTAGTATGTGGGGAGCTCATTTTCTGTAAAAACTTACTTTAAAGGGGAAGAGAAATTACTCAGCTAAGAAAACTTCTTTCACCAATGCTTGCCCCCTGCATGCCCATGGGTTCCTACTGTGTACACGGTGAGTTTCCTGGAACTTCTTCCACCTCTGCCAACTTCTTTCATCACATATGCATCTCTACTCTTTAGCTTTAAAACCTGGGCAAATAAAAACAATGAAAAAGTCAGAGACTGTTTTCTGCATTTTCCAATATGATTTTTGTTGGTGCTTTATTAAAAAAATAGCACTCACACCCCCACACACCCCCACACACTCACACCCACTCACACCCATGCACATTCACACCTACTTACACCCATGCACACTCACCCACCACACCCACTCATACCCCACACACTCACACTCACTCATACCCACACCCACTCACACTCACATCCATACACATTCACATCCACTCATACCCACACCACTCATACCCACTCACGCCCACACACATTCACACCCACTCACACCCCACACACACTCACACCCACTCACACCCCCACACATTCACACCCACTCATACCCACTCACACCCACACACATTCACACCCACTCACGCCCCCACACACTCACACCCACTCACGCCCCCACACACTGACACCCATGCACACTCACCCAGCACACCCACTCACACCCACTCACCCCCCCACACCACCCACTCACACCTACACACACACACTCACACATGCCATTCTTCTTATTTCCTTTTCCCAGATGGTGCCCTCTGTAGTGCTGAGAGCTGCGAGTCTGGCCTGTGTGAAGTGTGGGCCACCTGTGGGCAGCCTTGGGCCAACAGCTAGCAGGAAACCGAAGCACTCAGTTCAGCCACAAGGAAATTGTTTTTGTCAACAACATGAGACTCAGAAACAGATCCTCAGCCCATTGAGCCTACGGAGGAGAACGGTGTCGGACAGCCTCCTGAGCCCCTCAGCAGAGGGCACCTCAAAACTGTGCTCAGACCCTGACCCACAGAAACAGTGGGTTACAAAGCGTAGGCCACTTTAGGCCGCTAATTGTGGACAGTTTGTAACACAGCAATAGAAAATGAACAGGATCCTCAAAGTCCCTGCTGCCTCTTGAATTTCCTGGGTGAACATTTGTTCTAATTTTTCTTGAAACATGTGATCTTTCCAAATACCTGGTGTACTGCATGTTATTTCATGGAATGTTCTAGGGGTACTGGGCCCTGTGAAATAGTCTCGTCCCTGATAAACTGCAATGTGCACTTCTTGAGTTCAGTGTAGTTCAACTCTGAAGTTGTGATCCAGAGGGAGCCTTGGTCCCAGAATCCCTTTCCTCCTCCCCACCCTGTTCCCACGGACCTCCTTTTCCATGTTTTTGGGCTGCCAAAGTCACAATGAAAGAACAAAGCCACCCAGCTAACAGGCAGCATCAGCAACACCACGGCAGAGCTCAGCATTGACAGAGCCAGGCTCCTGGCTTGGGGGCCTTTCCAGTCTGTCCCCAGGGCTCTGTAGTCCCAGCAGGCAACAGCAGGGTCACTTCAGAGACAGAGGCTCGCCTCCTGCCTGCCCCTGCCTCTGACGGAGTTTGCGTCTCCCTGGCAGGGTCCTTGTCTACAACATCTCCCTGCAGTCCTAGAAAAACCAGTTTAGGATGGGGCCTCTCTTACCTTGCATTTAAATAAGAATGCTGTCCCCTTCTGTGACTGTTCATTTTTGGTTTTCTCTTCCAGCAACCTTAGCCTTCCAAATTAAAGCCAGGATGAGGGTCTCCTGCTCATGGTCCTGAATACAGAAAAGTGTCTAGCTGCTGCCTTGGCAGAAGTGCAGCCGGCCTCCAGAACACCGTCTGGGACTGGGGGCAACCTGCAAACGCCTGGTTCTGGTCCACACAGAGGGGACAGCAGAGCAGAGGGCTAGGTTTGGAAACCTTTGTAACATCTGACTGGTAAGTTTTTCTTTTGAATTTAATAATCAAGCTGGTTCTATACATCTTATGTCTCAAATATTTCTAGTAATTCTTTGTTTTTGCATTTTACAAGAACTCCTTCCCCACAAGGAGCAAAAAACAAAAGCTGTCTGCCCACACTGTGGGGCTGGGGCCTGGCCAATTGCAATCAGGTTTGCTGAGTGTAGCACATAAAAATTAACCCAAACTTGAAACACCACTAAAACATATTCTATCAGCCAATCAGCCAGGGGTTGAGTTGAAAAGGAGGAGTGGTAGGAAAACCTTCTGTGACAATGCCACCTCCCCATAGTGACCATTTCCACCCCCTGGGCAGAGTGGTGGGAGCAGCAGAGCCCTGCTCACCCAGGCCACGGACACTCTGCGCCCCCGATGGTTTTCCTCAAATTCCTCCTCACCCAAGCAGTGCCACTTACATTTCCACAACGTGTGTCTCTGAATCTTTGAATGATAAGGAACAAGATCAACAAGTACATAACTTGAAAATGCTAATAGGTCTTAGCCAAGATTTTTTTACAGCTTTAATCTCTAAAAAACTAAGACCACCCTCTCACGGATTATAAGCTTTAAAAATTGTTTTCTTAAGTTGTTAATCAAGAAAAAAATTTATAAAAATTGCAGTCTCATGGTTACTGTTTAGATTCCTGGTATTACTGGCAATTTTCAAGGGAACCCCTTGAACTGTTTTTCTTCACACATATTTATATTTTTAAATTTGTGCTTTTGGTATTTTAGCTTGGGGCATGAGAATAATTAGGACAATTACGAGTATATTGAAAATTTTAAAAGTAACAAAAACATGAAAACCAGTGGATATAAGTGGTATATATTACATAAACAGCAGTGGCTGTAAATGGTAGATTAAAGATACACAAGTATTAGGTGAGTTTTAAATGTTTTCAGTTTTGCCAATTAGCAGTTGATGACTTGACATTGACTGATGCTCTACTATTTTTTAAAAAAGAAAATCTAGTTGCTACTTTCTTCTGCTCACATTTACCCCCCATTTAATCATTCACCTGGGTTGATTCCAAAAGGAGGTCATGACCTTAAGGCCTCCATGGATTTTGCCAGCTGAGAGGAGGGTGTGTTGGAGCTTCCTACTGAAGAATGGTCTTGCTTCACCTTGGCCTTGACCTCGTGGGGTTTCTAGCAAGCTGCGCTCATCTCCCTGCACAGGGACGGCGTAACAAGTGATTCCTCTCTAGAGAGTGGGCCGCATCTCCAAGTCCACCCTGGAATCCCAGTCCCCCTGGGGCTCTGCTGGGGTTGGTCCCCTTCAGGCTGTAGATTGGAAGAAGGCAGCAGGCTGTCTGGGCAGAACGTGCTCATGACCCCTTGGAGAAAATAAGGAGAACAAGCCAATGCCCTGCTTCAGTTCAGCATTGGAAATCAGCTCAAATCCAAGGCTTCACTGCTGCGCTTTGCCTGGGAGGGACAAAACTGAGCTTGTCATCACAAAACAGGGTGGGTGATTCTCAAGGGATTTTCCAAACTCCCAGGATCATCAGGAGCCCATTGGTATCTGCCTCTCTCCTGTTCGTTAGGAACACTTTTCTGCATTCTTATAGTGCTATCCTTGAGCTCCACAGAGAAAAATTCAGCCGGTGTGCTGGTTGCTCAGCTGGTAGCTAGAAGAGGGAGAGGCCTTGGTGGACCCATGCTGCCAGTCCCTCTCAGCTCACTGGGGAATTGTGGAGACGTAGGTGGGATGGCTCTCATCCAGGAAGTCTCCAGTTAACCCACCAGGTCTGCACACCTTGTGTCTCCTACAGACAGGCATGGGAAGAAGTCTTGTGTTGATTGACTTCAGGCTGTGGGCCCAACACCAGACAAACTCTGCTCAGGGTTAAGTGTTCAGGTGACACTGCAAGGGTTCATTGTGTGCGATAACAGAAAGAGCTTCCATACCCAGGTATTCATCAGGATAAAGGACTTAACCTTTAGCCAGAGAAGATGACGTTTTCATAGCCTGGACATTCTGGCACATTTACAGAGTCCAGTGATTTCAGATCCACTGAAATTTGCTTTTCCTTTCATGTCTGCTTGGGCAGGAGAGATACCAGTAGAAAGAAATTTTATCAGACTGCAAGTTAGTTACTTTCAGTCCCAATAATTGTGGATTTCAGAGTATCAATTTCTGGTGCTCTAAAGCATGTCCACCTTTTTGCTTCTACAAATTGATTAAGCTTTTTATTTGATATCACAGGAGCCTCCGGAGGGTTCTAACCTATATTTCAACCTTTGAAGAAATTCATGCCCAAGATATTGCTGCCGGACAATCTTCAAGGTCATTAATATAATGCTTAGAAATTTTCGGCTGAAAGTGGATTTAATAAGAGCCTTTTTCTATGTGTCTCCTCATAGCATGATTCAAAAATGTTTCTCCTTTCAAGTGCCTTAGGAAGTCAGCTTTTATTATATTTGCTTTGCACCTTTAAATGCAGGCAGCCAAGGGGATTTTATGACAAAGTCTGATAAAATTGATGCAATAAAATAATAACATAAACTAACCAAAAAGAGTATAAATGCTGATGGGAAAATACTGAAGAATTATTCTTGAAGTTCTTTAGATGTCTCTATTTACAAATATAACACAGAACTTTTTTTTTTTAACCCAGAACTTTTGGTGGGAATTTTAAAAATAGATGTAAGGTGATGTACACACAGCCAGAGTGGGAAGATGGTATGAGGAGAGAGGACGGCATCTCATGCTGGAAATTTAGCCACGAGACTGGTGATGACATCAGGGTCACTGGTATTGTTCAGGTCCTTTAAACAGCTCAGGCTTAGGTAATAAATAAGGTTGCCCACATTCCTGGGTCTGCTCCTTAGTTACAAGTGACATGGGAAACAGAGAAGGATACGGGCTGAAATGAGTTTGGCAAGATGGAGACCATATTTTACCTTTTATGCTGTTCACATTTTGGAGAACAGAGCCTTGTACAAGACACTGGCCACCAACTGCTGGGGGTGGCTGGGGACCACAGGTCTGAGAAGAGTGGCTGCTTGGAGCGGCTTACGAATGCTCACTGGTTCCGCTCAGGGAATCACCCGAGGTGCTGCAGGTACCACAACATGTCTCCCTGATACTTCTTTGGACACCCAGATGGAAACCAGCAAAACCAAGGGGAAAATTGATCAGAAACCACATTATTGATAGGCAAGTTTAGATTTTAACCTCATGGAATCTGCCAAAACCACAGCTCCTTCAAGTGACACGGTGAAGACAAGGTCGTATCTTTTGTATTTTATCAAGAAACCTGTGGTCTGACCCCAGGAATCAGACTCCCCTTCTTCCCTGGTGGCACAGTCACATCTGAAGACGGTTCCTGAGAAAACAGTCTATCAGAATGAAGTAAAGGAAGACTGGGTTTAGAGAACATAAATAAAGTGGTCTCTTCAAAATAAAAAGTAGGTAAAGGAAATTGGTGAGTCTAATGCTTGCTTTTCTCTGAATAGCAGGAATTCAGTGGCATGTGATCTCTGATTTGTCTATTTCCCCCTTTGCTTCTGCCGGTTCTACTCATGAATTTTGACTTGTCTTACCTCTTACTAGGTGCCACATAGTAAAGGTGTTTTTGGTTGGTTTGTTGGCTTGTCGTCTTCCAGATGGAGAAAAGAACATGTACCCTTTTTATGCAATGTCCCCCTTTATGTCTTCTAGTGTTCTTTGCCTTGAAATGGACTTAGATTCTAATATATCAGTTTCCTTGTGCTTATTATTAACATGATCTATAGTCTTCCTTTTTATTTTAACTCACTCATTTTTATGTTTAAAATAGATTTCTCATAAAGAATACATGATTGGGTCAGTCTTTTAAAATCCAGTCTGAAAATCTCTTTCTTATAATTACAGGTGTTTAGTTCATTTACTTTTAGTGTAATTATTGATGAAGTTGGATTTGTTGACCATATTTCCTCATTTTCTATTTATTATTCTCTGGCTCCTTTGCTTCCATTTTGTTTTTACAACTCTTATTTCCTTTATTGGTTTCTTAGCTATACTTTTTTGAGTATTTTTAGTGTTGCTAAAATAGTGTGCATGCTTACTATTGACTATTATAGAGTCAATGCACTTTCCTTCTTTATGTCACATTTTATCCTTAATATCTGATAGCTTCACATTTTTTACTTTCTACTTTTTTCTTTCCATTAGACATAAGACACTTCTAACTTCACTCTCATACTTTTACAGTACAAAAATGTAATAGCCACACAATAGCCGATTCTATTCCACTCTATATTACATGAAATCTTTGTCTTATCTTTTACTTATATGTACATTATAAGCCCTAACTTAGGTTTCATTCTAGTTACAAACATTCAGATTTCTTTTAAGCAAATTATAATAAGTTTAAAAAATATAATTTAAAATTACTTACCAGCCTATTTGAATCTTTGGGTCCTCTTAGAGCTAAATTTCCTTCTGGATCCTTTTAGACAAAATAATATTCTTTAGCATTTATTGTAGATTGCTAATAATGAGCTTTCTCAGTTTTTATCTGAAAATTTCTTTATTTTATTCTCATTTTTGAAGGACATTTAATAGATGTAGACAGAAGATTGTGGTGTTTTTCCTGTCAGTATTTTAAACCACGTTATCCCATTGTCTTTCAACCTTTATCAATTCTTGTAAGAAATCAGTGATATTTCTTATTCTTGCTCTTCTGTGAATAATCTCTTTCCATCTCAGGTCACTTTCATTGTTTTCTTTATCTTTAATTGTGAGCAGTGTGACTCCAATTTTTCTTGTTATAGTTTTTTCTTTAACAAATGGAGTCTGCATCAGATTAACTGAATTTGTTAAAATAGTCAATCAATTTTTTCACCAAATTTCTGATATGTCCAGTAATTATTTCTTCAAATAAAATTTTCCTCCTGTCTTTATTCTCTTTCTGATATTCTGAGACCATCTGATATTAACCCACAAAACTCCAAAGCTTTGACTGTTTTTCTGTAGTATGCTTTCTTTTTTT